ACAACTTGTAGCTCTGATGAGATTAAAAATCATCCCTGCTTGAGTGGATTTACGAGACACTTCGTAGACCAAAATTATTATTTCCATCCGCAGTGCGATAAGTATAGTGGTGAAATTACTGCAGATGCTAAATGTTAGATTATGTGTTTATATCATCATATTTTTACAGATGATGGATCGATTATTAGAAAAAGTCTTGTTGGAGGACAAGAGGTTCTCGTCGAAGAACAAGCCGAGCAGGAAGAAGCCGAGCAGGAAGAAGCCGATCAGCTAATGGTGGTGGATACAAACATCGAGAGTGACTGTTCGAACAGCAATGATTGTCCGATGAACCTAGAGAGGAAAATACGCAATGAGGAAATTCTTATAGAGGAAGTACGGAAACGACCACCTCTTTGGAACTTTAAATTGCACATTTCCGAAAGGGGCGCCCGTACTAAGGAGAAGCTGTGGGAAGAGATTGCTGTTAACATGAAAGGTATAACATTTTTTAATTGAGGTATGAGAGCCATGTCTGTTACAAATGTATTTATCGCGTTTTTGTCCTTAGGAGAAATGACTGTAGGTCAGATCAAAAAGAAGTGGAAGTCATTGTCTGATATGTTCAGGAGACAACGCAAAATTCACAATCAGCCTAGTGGTTCTATGGCTATCAAAAAAGTAAAATGGCTTCACTACGAAAAGCTTAGTTTTCTACACGACATGCAACTTGAAAACGTGTATGTGTAAATGCACTCTCATACGTTTTATATAAATGTAGTTTGTACAGTGGTTAAAATGTTATTAGTTTAACCTCTTTCTCTTTTAGGAGGATATCGAACATTGCCGATCTCTCCAACAGTTCGGACGTTTCGCAAAGTAGCAAAGATGCATATGTCGATGACCGCAGTAGCAGTACGTCGCGAAATAGTAGACGTACAACACGTAAGAATATTTCAATTATAATTGTATTAATTACTGTTTAAGAAATGCATGCGCTAAAATCACTAATTATGACGTTCTTATATTTTTAATAAATGTCAGTTTTGTAAAAAATATTTATACATTGTACTGAAACATTTGTTACAATAAATAATTTCATTGTAACAATGTTTTTCTGAGTGTAGATATCTTACATATATTGGCTGCGTTCCGAAATTGTCTGCCAGTACTGAAAATCTATAGTTCACGTTACGTATACTGTAGATTTTCAGTACAGTCAATTTCGGAACACAACCATTGTAAGTCAAAAATAACACATTGATTTCAGAAAGTGAAGGGTACGAGAGGTCGGTCGAGCCTGGACCATTATGGACAGGGTGGAGGAATTAATGAACGATCCCGTATTGGTTGATGTAACTGGAGGCCTGCCCAATGATGAATTCACTGCGTTCGGAATGCTTGTCGCCTCTAAGCTACGAGCCCTCAGTGTGGATGCAAGTGAATCGGCAATGCTTGCAATATTGCAAGTTTTACGTGAATCGAGAAGAAACGATCAGTAGTAGATTTGTTTTCAATATTTTTTTAATTTTTATTATTTTTATATTTTTATAATAAAAAGTGTTAGTAAAATATGCAAATCAATTATTTGTGCCTATTAAATTGCCACGGTATTGATCCTTCATTACAAAAGTAATCGCAAAATTGATCACGAATTGCCATGCAGTTTCGTGTACTTGTGTTGGTTCCACAATTAGTAATATCTTGAAATGCGCATCCATCCTCCATTATTCTCTGCCAAGTACCTGGTCGAAAAGTATTTAAATCTGCGCTTTCTTCGTCGATCATATTTAGGGGGACATATACA